AGATGCACTTTTATGATGGATAGATGCACTTTTATCATGAATAGATGCACTTTTATGATGGATAGATGCACTTTTATCATGAATAGATGCACTTTTATCATGGATAGATGCACTTTTATCATGGATAGATGCACTTTTATCATGAATAGATGCACTTTTATGATGGATAGATGCACTTTTATGATGGATAGATGCACTTTTATGATGGATAGATGCACTTTTATCATGAATAGATGCACTTTTATCATGGACAGATGCACTTTTATCATGAACAGATGCACTTTTATCATGAATAGATGCACTTTTATCATGAATAGATGCACTTTTATCATGAATAGATGCACTTTTATCATGAATAGATGCACTTTTATCATGAATAGATGCACTTTTATCATGGATAGATGCACTTTTATCATGGATAGATGCACTTTTATCATGGATAGATGCACTTTTATGATGGATAGATGCACTTTTATCATGAATAGATGCACTTTTATCATGAATAGATGCACTTTTATCATGGATAGATGCACTTTTATCATGAATAGATGCACTTTTATGATGGATAGATGCACTTTTATCATGAATAGATGCACTTTTATCATGGACAGATGCACTTTTATCATGAATAGATGCACTTTTATCATGAATAGATGCACTTTTATGATGGATAGATGCACTTTTATCATGAATAGATGCACTTTTATGATGGATAGATGCACTTTTATCATGGATAGATGCACTTTTATCATGGATAGATGCACTTTTATCATGGATAGATGCGCTTTTATCGACTTCAAAACAGAAACGGCCATTCACTGCCATTATAAAGTATGAAACCATAGGTTCAGTTCCAGCACCTCACCTCCTACAACAGGGAGTTTGGAGTTCTCGGATCGCGACACAACGGTCGGCAGGCCCGTCGCGCACAGAACCAGCATGTCCAGGAACCCACTGTGAGGCGCCACGGCCAAAACCGGAGCTTCCCTCAGGCCCGCCTGACGCCCTCGGACCTTAATCCACAAGAAGCCCAGGGAGAAGAAGGCGGCCCGGCTGAGGAAGAGCATGATGTGGTGGAGGAGCCAGCGACGCCAGCCCTGCACAGGCTCCGCCCGCTCCGCCTCCGACAGGCCGGCCAATCGCAGGCGAGCGATGGGCCACATGAGCAGGAAGAAGAGGGCGGCAAGAGTGATGCGGACCGGGAACAGGACAACTCCCAGAATGAGGCCCTGCGAGAGACATCAGAATCAGAAGTGTTTCATTGGTCAGACAGTGTTTCAAGTCTTCTTTATGTCGAGTCTCAAGTCTTCTTCATGTCGAGTCTCAAGTCTTCTTTATGTCGAGTCTCAAGTCTTCTTTATGTCTAGTCTCAAGTCTTCTTTATGTCGAGTCTCAAGTCTTCTTTATGTCGAGTCTCAAGTCTTCTTTATGTCGAGTCTCAAGTCTTCTTCATGTCGAGTCTCAAGTCTTCTTCATGTCGAGTCTCATGTCGAGTCTCAAGTCTTCTTCATGTCGAGTCTCAAGTCTTCTTTATGTCGAGTCTCAAGTCTTCTTTATGTCGAGTCTCAAGTCTTCTTCATGTCGAGTCTCAAGTCTTCTTTATGTCGAGTCTCAAGTCTTCTTCATGTCGAGTCTCAAGTCTTCTTTATGTCGAGTCTCAAGTCTTCTTCATGTCGAGTCTCAAGTCTTCTTCATGTCGAGTCTCATGTCTTCTTTATGTCGAGTCTCAAGTCTTCTTCATGTCGAGTCTCATGTCGAGTCTCAAGTCTTCTTCATGTCGAGTCTCAAGTCTTCTTTATGTCGAGTCTCAAGTCTTCTTCATGTCGAGTCTCAAGTCTTCTTTATGTCGAGTCTCAAGTCTTCTTCATGTCGAGTCTCAAGTCTTCTTCATGTCGAGTCTCAAGTCTTCTTCATGTCGAGTCTCAAGTCTTCTTCATGTCGAGTCTCATGTCGAGTCTCAAGTCTTCTTCATGTCGAGTCTCAAGTCTTCTTTATGTCGAGTCTCAAGTCTTCTTCATGTCGAGTCTCAAGTCTTCTTTATGTCGAGTCTCAAGTCTTCTTCATGTCGAGTCTCAAGTCTTCTTCATGTCGAGTCTCAAGTCTTCTTTATGTCGAGTCTCAAGTCTTCTTCATGTCGAGTCTCAAGTCTTCTTCATGTCGAGTCTCAAGTCTTCTTTATGTCGAGTCTCAAGTCTTCTTCATGTCGAGTCTCAAGTCTTCTTTATGTCTAGTCTCAAGTCTTCTTTATGTCGAGTCTCAAGTCTTCTTCATGTCGAGTCTCATGTCGAGTCTCATGTCGAGTCTCAAGTCTTCTTCATGTCGAGTCTCAAGTCTTCTTTATGTCGAGTCTCAATTCTTCTTCATGTCGAGTCTCAAGTCTTCTTTATGTCTAGTCTCAAGTCTTCTTTATGTCCATGTTTAGAAATTATTAAATATGATTATGTTTTCAACTATACTGTATAGTTGTGTTTTGCGGTGTGTTTGTTGTCAAACTAAAAAAAAAAATGTTTTTAATTATTGAAAAAATGCCATTATTTTATAATTGTTATTGACAAAATATTTTAGTTTGTCTTGTATATTTGTTTGATTAGATAACATTTTTGGTCATGTTGTCACATTTCACTTACATTCTTTGAGGGTAAATCAAGAAAAAAAGTATAAAGTATACACTGTATTAATGAAACAAAACCACATAATTGTACTATACATGTAAGAAATTATGTGGGGGGGGGGGGGGGGGTGTCCCCAAGTGAATTTACACAAACTGAGAAAGTCAAAAAGTGTTTCAAGAAACAGAAAGATGTGCCGATGTGTTTCTATCCTGTCATTTATAGTCATTACCTGGTCTAGATGGATGATATAACTTGATTTAAACTAATTCAATCCAATTTGGAGCAGCAACAAACCAGCTTGCAAACATTTGCTCAAAAGACTTTCTTCTCTCTTAATGAAATATCTTAAACTCAGATCAATATTTTATGTCCATTTATTTGGTAAGTAGCCTACTCGTAGAATGACTGTGATCATGATCAAGAAGCTTGTCCTTAATGCAAAATGTAGCCTACCCTGGACTTTATTTGGCAATAATGACCAGCTGACTGAACAATAAGATGCTTTCATAATGTTTGAACGGGACTAAAACTGTTAGCTGAAAAGAGTATAAAGTCTTAATTAGAAAGGAAATACTGGATGTGCAGCATATAAAATTCACAGCTATAGTTAGCCTACAAGTGTCTTTAAATGTAAGATCAAAGCAAACACAAAACATTTATATGACAATTCTGCAGTTTGGTTGCGGCTAGGTTACATCACAACAAGACATGACGCAGTCGACATTTTGATTATGCAAAATATCTCAAAACATATCTTACTTTAATACAATCAAAATACGCATTGCTGTGAAAATACATTTAGACAACAAGCCGATGTCTGACAGCAGTTTGACGTTTACAGTTCCGTTTAAAAACACTATTATTTAATTCCACTTAACAGGCAGTTTTAGCAGTTATGGGTATATTGTTGGATAAAAAATATTGTGTATATCTACAATGAAAATACTTTCAAGAATATATCTGTAGACTACTGTATAGATCCCTTAATATTTTATTAAAGGTTTCTCTTTCAAGGGGATCATATGGGGTCCTTGGGATCAAAAAGTTTGGAAACGCCCGTGCTGAAAGAACCGTTCTGTTTACGGTTCACTGGTCATTTAAATAAAGCGTTTAAAATAATTAAAATAATCGTTAAAGCACATCAGTCTTCTGACAAAAATCGCTGAACTTTTACCAGCGAGTTCAATGACAGCAATTGATAATTACCACAGTTTGAGCCAACAATCGCTGTAGTAAGAGTATATTTGTCGGAAAGTTCGGTTGTCATGGTTATTTTCGTAAAAGTTCACGTGGAACACACGTACTGACGTACGCGTTTATTTTTCGCACACACGTCACTCAGAACGGCTCTTACCTGAATCCACTGAGCAGCTGTTAGATCCACTTCATGAACGAACGGATGAGGAGTTTGTCCTTTATCCTTCAAAATCATCGCGAACACGGACTAATACTAAAATACTTCACAATGAATCACTGCGTTCTCGGAGAACGACTAGGAACCGTGCGCACGAACGAGTGAATAAACAAGTGGATAAAAAGTTCAGGTGAAGGTGACACTAAAACAAAACTTCAAGTGCATTTATGTGAAACGAACCCAACCCCATCTAAGTAAAACTACTGATTTATAACGAAACGAAAACGCGTTGGACCTCCGAGAACGATCAGCACACACACAACTAACTTAAGTAACAGAAACTGTAGAAGATTCACACGCTTAACCGACCCCGCCCCCTAAACACAGTTTGACCATAGACTGTAATGACCCTCGATTTGGCCCCGCCCATTAGACGAGCACATTGGTTAGCCCCGACCACAACACGCACGTCACTCACACTGGCCCCGCCCACTCAACCACGCCCACAGAAACTCATTATTTCAGACTTCATTTCACTTCCAACAACTCAACAGGTCAGAAGACAGAAATATAAATTAACTTATCAATTCATACCTTAAAATGCAATCAGAGATGATTCAATATCTCTCACACTCTGTAATGCTGAAAGAAAAATAACAGCATAGTTCAAGGATAAAAACAATATTTTTATGCAATTTTTATTTTTAAGTCATCAGTACTTTTGGCCTGGATTTTATGTTTTTGGATTTGGCTTTTAAGATTTTATTTTCACTTATTTAAAATATATATATATGTATTAATTAATTATTTATTTAAATCAACTATTTACAATTATTTTATTAAGTAATTATGTACAATTATTTATTTTCAACTTTAGCCGCACACTAGTATATAAAAAAAGCCACAAATCTCTCATTTGATTTCTATGAAAAACATCAAACATAAAGAAGAAAAGGTTCTAAATGGAACTTTAAAGCTTTAAAATATAGAACTTTTTAAGGGTTCCAACATGTGATAATTTTATGAACTTAGTTTGAATTAATTTTGTATGAATTATTTCGAGTTAACAGCTCACAAACATACTTTATTACTAGAAAAAAATGTAAATACTGGTAAATAACTTAATAAACATTTACAATAGACAGTTAGTCAGTCATTAAACTGGAGTCAGAAGCCTATAGTGTCCTCAGTGTGTGTGTCCTCAGTGTGTGTCCTCAGTGTGTGTGTCCTCAGTGTGTGTCCTCAGTGTGTCCTCAGTGTGTGTGTCCTCAGTGTGTGTCCTCAGTGTGTGTCCTCAGTGTGTGTGTCCTCAGCAGAGATGGGACCAAGTCACACATGTGCAAGTCTCAAGTAAGTCTCAAGTCTTAACCTTCAAGTCTCAAGTAAGTCCCAAGTATTTTTTTCCTGGGCAAGTCAAGTCAAGTCAAGTCACAGGCTATGTCAAGTCAAGTCAAGTCAAGTCTTGTAGTAGGTCAAGTCAAGTCCAAGTCAAGTCACCTTATTATTGTAATTTTACCTGCAGAATTTGATCTATGGGCGTCAGTTTGGTCTGAAATGAACAGAGGCGCATTCGGAAGTGCATTTGGGAACAATGACGCATTCATTCACTTTTCTCTTTCACGCAGGTCATGTTTTGAAAGATGGTGTCCTGTAGCTTACTAATTTAAAGAAATAAAAATGTATACAAAAATGTGATGATGTCCGACTTCTTTTATGAAGAAGAAAGCCTTAAGTTTTCAAAAAGCATTAGACATATGACCCACTATTCTGCTTCGTGTAAGTTATCAATGAATTCAAACGTGCTTTCACGCGTTGGCTGGCGCTGAGCCAGAGACATAAGCCTTGTTTATACTCGACGCGTCCGCAAGAGCGCGAAGTGCCCTCGGCAAAAATGACGTCATTGCGGTGTGGGCGGTCGTGCGCGTTGGGTGCGCAAGACCCCATTTCGCCTGGCGGTGTGCACGGCACTTTTTGTAACATCGCGCGCGGCGCCGCATCCGAAGATGAACGACTTCGAGCCGAATCTGGCCGAACTGGTATGTCTGTACCACCATGTTTATGATCCTTCTATACACAGAGACATTTGCATTGATGGGCGACCATAAAAGCCTCTCATTTTGTGAATTGAAACACATTTACATTAAGCACCCAGTTTGCACTTGTATAAAGTAACTGCTTACATTTACAAAATAAGCCTACAATAGCAGAAGTAAGCCCTGCTGATGAAATTAAGGTTTAAACACTCTTCAATAAGGCTTCAGTTGTTTACTAGTTTACATGCAGCGAAAGTACAATAAACCTACTGCATTTATTACTCTTTTTATATGAATCAGAAATTAATAAACTACTAATAAATGGCAAACTACTTCTTCACTGCTGATTCCTGGTGGTTTAGAGGAGAATTACTCCGAGTCGCCCCCTGTCGTTTCACAGAATAGCACAACGGCGAGCGCGTCAAGTATAAACGCCTCGTCCATATGGAGAGGTGCGCGCGCAGTCAGCGGAGACTCGCGCTCGTGCGGACGCGTCGAGTATAAACAAGGCTATACGCTCTCAGTGCTGTCATATATCACAACTGTTCAGTGTTTTCAACCACATAATTTTTATTTTAGGTTTCAGACATTTAAATACACATAAGTACTAGCAAAAAAAAATATTTGTATTTTGTAAAATACACACTGATGTCTACGGAAGCGTCAATAATAATCCTTTCCATTATAATAAGACGTCACGTTTTATTCATATCAGATACACATTGTGTAAGTATAGCTTTACATTTTACCCTATTCTTCTCCCAGTTCACCGGTCACTTAACGTTACTTTCATGTATTTCGTGAGAAGTTGAGAAATTGACCTGTTGTAAACGTTAACATGGCACCGCCCATTCGCACATACAGCTCAACTAACGCGATCATTATAAAGGTGTTTAAACAACAAAACACATCCACTTACACATATTTGACAATCGGAATATCAGTGTTGTATGTTATAGCTAATACATTTGTGAACATTTTGAATAAAACAGGAAAAATGACATAAAAGCAGATCATCATTCATTCAGCGCTGTGTTGTGGTTGCGCTGTGTCACGTGACAAGCAATGACGCGTCACCATGGAAACATTAAAGTGAGTGATAGGTTCTAAATAACGGTCGCCTAGAAAAACTCACGCTGGGGGATCAGTTAGAATAGTTTAAACTTACTTGTGAAAGGGTTAATGACTACTTTAGCTATTATTACATTAGCTAACTACCAACTAACATTAACAAATTGACAAGCACTTACTGTGTGTGTAAGTGTACTGTACTTCCTCAGTGTGTGTCCTCAGTGTGTGTGTCCTCAGTGTGTGTGTCCTCAGTGTCCTCAGTGTGTGTCCTCAGTGTGTGTGTCCTCAGTGTGTGTGTCCTCAGTGTGTGTCCTCAGTGTGTGTCCTCAGTGTGTGTGTCCTCAGTGTGTGTGTCCTCAGTGTGTGTGTCCTCAGTGTCCTCAGTGTGTGTGTCCTCAGTGTGTGTCCTCAGTGTGTGTCCTCAGTGTGTGTGTCCTCAGTGTGTGTCCTCAGTGTGTGTCCTCAGTGTGTGTGTCCTCAGTGTGTGTCCTCAGTGTGTGTGTCCTCAGTGTGTGTGTCCTCAGTGTGTGTCCTCAGTGTGTGTCCTCAGTGTGTGTGTCCTCAGTGTGTGTGTCCTCAGTGTGTGTCCTCAGTGTGTGTGTCCTCAGTGTGTGTGTCCTCAGTGTGTGTGTCCTCAGTGTGTGTCCTCAGTGTGTGTGTCCTCAGTGTGTGTCCTCAGTGTGTCCTCAGTGTGTGTGTCCTCAGTGTGTGTCCTCAGTGTGTGTCCTCAGTGTGTGTGTCCTCAGTGTGTGTCCTCAGTGTGTGTGTCCTCAGTGTGTGTGTCCTCAGTGTGTGTCCTCAGTGTGTGTCCTCAGTGTGTGTGTCCTCAGTGTGTGTGTCCTCAGTGTGTGTGTCCTCAGTGTGTGTGTCCTCAGTGTGTGTCCTCAGTGTGTGTCCTCAGTGTGTGTGTCCTCAGTGTGTGTCCTCAGTGTGTGTGTCCTCAGTGTGTGTCCTCAGTGTGTGTCCTCAGTGTGTGTGTCCTCAGTGTGTGTCCTCAGTGTGTGTCCTCAGTGTGTGTGTCCTCAGTGTGTGTGTCCTCAGTGTGTGTGTCCTCAGTGTGTGTGTCCTCAGTGTGTGTCCTCAGTGTGTGTCCTCAGTGTGTGTGTCCTCAGTGTGTGTCCTCAGTGTGTGTCCTCAGTGTGTGTCCTCAGTGTGTCCTCAGTGTGTGTGTCCTCAGTGTGTGTCCTCAGTGTGTGTGTCCTCAGTGTGTGTGTCCTCAGTGTGTGTGTCCTCAGTGTGTGTCCTCAGTGTGTGTGTCCTCAGTGTGTGTCCTCAGTGTGTGTCCTCAGTGTGTGTGTCCTCAGTGTGTGTCCTCAGTGTGTGTCCTCAGTGTGTGTGTCCTCAGTGTGTGTCCTCAGTGTGTGTGTCCTCAGTGTGTGTGTCCTCAGTGTGTGTCCTCAGTGTGTGTCCTCAGTGTGTGTGTCCTCAGTGTGTGTGTCCTCAGTGTGTGTCCTCAGTGTGTGTGTCCTCAGTGTGTGTGTCCTCAGTGTGTGTCCTCAGTGTGTGTGTCCTCAGTGTGTGTCCTCAGTGTGTCCTCAGTGTGTGTGTCCTCAGTGTGTGTGTCCTCAGTGTGTGTGTCCTCAGTGTGTGTGTCCTCAGTGTGTGTGTCCTCAGTGTGTGTCCTCAGTGTGTGTCCTCAGTGTGTGTGTCCTCAGTGTGTGTGTCCTCAGTGTGTGTCCTCAGTGTGTGTGTCCTCAGTGTGTGTCCTCAGTGTGTGTCCTCAGTGTGTGTGTCCTCAGTGTGTGTCCTCAGTGTGTGTCCTCAGTGTGTGTCCTCAGTGTGTGTGTCCTCAGTGTGTGTCCTCAGTGTGTGTCCTCAGTGTGTGTGTCCTCAGTGTGTGTCCTCAGTGTGTGTCCTCAGTGTGTGTGTCCTCAGTGTGTGTCCTCAGTGTGTGTGTCCTCAGTGTGTGTCCTCAGTGTGTGTGTCCTCAGTGTGTGTCCTCAGTGTGTGTGTCCTCAGTGTGTGTGTCCTCAGTGTGTGTCCTCAGTGTGTGTGTCCTCAGTGTGTGTGTCCTCAGTGTGTGTCCTCAGTGTGTGTGTCCTCAGTGTGTGTCCTCAGTGTGTGTGTCCTCAGTGTGTGTCCTCAGTGTGTGTCCTCAGTGTGTGTGTCCTCAGTGTGTGTCCTCAGTGTGTGTCCTCAGTGTGTGTGTCCTCAGTGTGTGTCCTCAGTGTGTGTCCTCAGTGTGTGTCCTCAGTGTGTGTCCTCAGTGTAAGCATGTAAACATGATGAAGTGTTTGTCCTAGAGTTCGCTGACTCCAGCTGAGAGTTTCATTCTTACACAAGATGCGTTTCTGTAGAGAGAGAGAAACCCGCCGGTCGAGTCCACGGCTCATTGTTCTGTGGGCGGAAAACCTCGTTTAGCACATTCAGACGCTTCACACACACACACAGACACACGTCAGACGCTTCACACACACACACACACACACACGTCAGACGCTTCACACACACACACAGACACACGTCAGACGCTTCACACACACACACACACACACACACACACACACACACACACACACACACACACACACACGTCAGACGCTTCACACACACACACACACACACACACACACACACACACACACACACACACACACACACACGTCAGACGCTTCTCTCTCTCACACACACACACACACACGTCTGATGCTCATACACGCTGAGATGTGCTTCACACACACACACACACACACACACACACGTCTGATGCTCATACACGCTGAGATGTGCTACACACACACACACACACACACACACACACACACACACACGTCTGATGCTCATACACACTGAGATTTGCTTCTCACACACACACACACACACACACACACACACACACACACACACACACACACACACACACACACACACACACACACACACACACACGTCGGGCGCTCGTCAGTAACACCTGTCAGTCAGAGACGCTGCTGAACGAGTAAGTCCAGAGTCTCGACTGTCGAACACACACGGAAACTCACACACCCCCAACACGAGCTACCTAAAGATGTGCTTCACACACACACACACCCAACACGAGCCTCGAGCCGCATCTCTCTCACCAACACAGGTCGACTCACACCGACACTTTCACAATCATATTTATTTTATTTAAAGCTGCTTTTGATACGACCAGAAACTCATTCTTATAGTTTTCACATCTATAGATATTAATCTCAGACAAACATCAACGGAGAATAATTCACTCTTTAATGTAAACATATACGTCTATAATAAAGTCTTTATATACTTTATTTAGGCTCAAATGTATAATACATTTAATATGAATAAAAATTGTTTGCTAATTTGACTCAGATATTAACCTTACCCAAACATAAATTATGAATTTTTTCACACACACACACACACACACACACACACACACACACACACACACACACACGTGTGTGTGTGTGTGTGTGTGTGTGTCTTTAAAATATCTTTATATATTAAAATAAATTTGAATGTGAAAAAAAATCTGATTTGCATCATCTAAACAATGAGTAGTTTTCTACTCAACAACAACATTTTCTACTTAACAACATCATAATTCGTTTTCTTGCATAGAAATGTGTCTTTGATAAATATGTCTTTCCTGTGAACATTAACTTTAAGATGAACTCTATATTCAAACAAATTATGAATCCCCTTCTTGTTTCCTCATTTGCATTTAAATATGAGCCAGACGCGTTTTCTTAAATATAATTTCACCTGATCATCAATGACAAATAACTCACGCTTTATGCAGAATCATATTTGAAATTTAAAAGTGAAGTAAAAGAAGTGTCCATATTTCAGGAAAACGTTAAACATACTTTATTATTTTGACAAAACATAAAAGCTTTCCGTTAAACACAAATCAAAAAGCATAACTTAATCAGCATGAGGGGTTAAACATGTTAATATTAGATAGGAAGCGTGTGTGTGTGTGTGTGTGTGTGTGTGTGTGTGTGTGTGTGTGTGTGTCACATGACCATTCCTCCGCCCATGATCTCCAGTCTCTGTGTAGAAAACAAACACAGGTCAGAAAGCACGTGTCTTTGAACACGAACACACACACACACACACACACACACACACACACACAGCTCATGAATTATTCACGCACCTGAGGCGGCTCAATGAACGCCAGCCAATCAGAGGAGTGTGTTGGGAGGAGGCCCATTGATTGGCACTTGTAGATGGCGAGGGCGGAGCCTAACAGGTTTCCCACGAGATACACCAATCCCTGCAGCCACTGCTGACTCGAGCTCTCCAGGAGCTTAAACGCTTCACACACACACACACACACCGAGAGCATTAATCGTGAGTGAGTGAGTGAGTGAATGAGTGTGTGTGTGTGTGTGTGTGTGTGAGTGAGTGTGTGTGTGAGTGAGTAAGTGAGTGTGTGTGTGTGTGTGTGAGTGTGTGTGTGTGTGTGTTACTCACTGGCTGACATGGACATCAGTGCCTGGATTGGTCTCCACGCCATCATACACACCATCATGATGGGGAAGATGGAGATGGTGTTTCCAGACATGTACATGATGAAGAGGTTCATGGGAATCTGCTTCAACGGTCCCAGAGCCACGTCCCAGCATCTCTACACACACACACACACACACACACACACACACACACACACACACACACACACACACACAGCGCAACATTTGTTTTAAATGACATAAATCGGCTATATTTTGTGTCTTGGTACTAGACAATATTTACCTCTAAATTGTGGTAAAATTATACAAATATTTAAAATTATTTTCAATTAAAGGGGACGTACATCTATGGCGTCAAAATCAAACTCATTTAAAGCTCGTCAAATTTGGCCCTTGTTTGGCCCAAATTTTGGGTGTGAGCAAAAACTTGCAGTTTTTGTGTGTGTCCCTTTAAATGCAAATGAGCTGCAGCTGTGTGATCTCAGAATAAACCCCTTCAGGTGTGTGTGTGTGTGTGAGATCTCAGAATAAACCCCTTCAGGTGTGTGTGTGTGTCACCTTCTCCACCAGGTTGCGGTCGGCCTCCTGAACGCTGGTGTCCGGCACGGGTTTATCCGAGAACCCCACGGGATACATGACGTCTCCGTCTTTACTCTGCCGGTCACTGCGACTCCTGCGCACACACGAGTCGTGAGTGTTGTGCACGGTTGCTAGGGTGTTGCTAGGGTTGCAGTGATGACGTACCTGCTGTTGCCGAGGCTCAGCTCGACGGCCCACTTCATCCTCTTGCTCGTGGCTCCGCCCCTCGTCGACAGAGCTCCGCCCCCCTGCCCGCCCGGTGATGTCATCCTGACCGACACACAGAGAATGTTCATCTTCAATATTTTAATTAACTATCAATATTTCCAAAATTTTTTATTTATATATTTTTTTCTACTTTCTTTCTTTGTATCATTTCTCTCAATTCAAATGTGATGTAATATTTGTCTGTCCCTGAACCCCTGGCTTAAATGTAAAAAAATAATAATGATTTTACAAAAAGACACCCGTGAGCTGTCAATCACTTTATATTCATAACCATTAGCATATCTTTGCTCACTTCTAAACTGGATCATCAGTCTTGTCCAAATCCTCCCAAAAACCCATCAAAGTAAACTATAGTTTCTTATAGATTATGTGCATAAATATATAGTTTTCTATAGTCAATGTATTGCATAAATATATCAGCGATGGACACCCAATAAATACACAAATTAATAACCTTTTATTTTGATTTCAATCAATTCTCTCTAAAATGTCAAACAGCAAAACCAAATATATTTAAAACTAATATTTTATTTGTATGATTTATGCATTTATTATTTAGCTAAACCAAAAATATTACATTATATTAAAAGAGAATCAATTAAAAACTATTTTACTACAGATTATTTGTGACATTATGTTTGTCCATAAATGTTTGACATATTTGATACCGTAATAAAGCTTGATTAAAACGTATTTAGCATAGAAATGAATATGCATAAACGTATACATCGCCGTTTGGTCTTAGAATACTACAGTAATGTATATAATGCTTTAATAAGAGCACTGTGTTGTCGAAATATGTTTATTTGATGTGCATGTTGATGATCGCCAGATCGTCTCACCTTTCCAAGCTCTTCGATCAGCGAGAAGAAGCAGAAGGTGTTTATATAGCGCAGTTAATTATCAGACTGATTCAAATTTAATGATTAAATGAAATAACGCAATATCAGAAGCATTAGCGCTGCTCTCCTCACGGGAACCAGCAGATGACGTCACTGGGACAGCAGCACTTCCGGCCCCGACACATGACGTCAGAGATGATGCTCCAGCGTGAGTGAGTGAACGCCACTGAACATATTAATACATTTAGCATATTATATACAAAGTTGTATATTATAAACATATTATCTCTGTATGATGCCACTGATCGACAAGCAATGGATTGGACCATACACGATATCATATATTTATATATATATATATATATATATATATATATATATATATATATATATATATATATATAAAATCTATGGACTGAACACCCAATAAATATGCAAATTAATCACTTTAATTTTTTTAATTTCTTCTCTGAGACTCAATATTTATTTTTGAACACCAAAACTGAATATATATTTAGATACCATTTAAATATTGATTTTACAATTTTTTTGTTGTATTATGTATTTATTACTTTTGTTACTAAAGCAGAAATATATATTTTTTTAAATAAAGAATTATACAAGAACAAGAACTTCAAACAAGTATTTCTGATAACTTTTAATGTGTTTAGTTATAATGTCCATAAATAGTGTTTTAGTTTATGATTTTGATGCCCATCATCTATAGTCAATATATTACATACACAATTCAGCGATTGACACCCAATACATCTGCAAATTCATAACTTTATAATTTCTCTCTTAAAAGTAAATATTTATTTTTAAATGCCAAAACTGAATATATTTAATACAAATTTAGGTATTATTTAAATATTTTTCTAACTTTGTATTATGTATTTATGATTTTACTAAACAAAAACATTACTTTTGAATGTTTTCTTAAAAACAGCATGCTATTAATAAAAAAATCAAACAGACACAATTTTACATGAGTATTTTTGATTATTTGTAAATTGTTTAATTATAATATCCATTATTTTTTTTACATCAGAGAAATATAAAACAACATAACATGGGATACATGTTTCTTTATACAAAATAAAGCATTTACATTTGTAAACAGATATATTGCGCTGTTAAGGTTCACTTGTAGAGGCTGAGTTGGGGACAGTGGTAGAGATTAAGGTTCACTTGTAGAGGCTGAGTTGGGGACAGTGGTGGAGATTAAGGTTCACTTGTAGAGGCTGAGTTGGGGACAGTGGTGGAGATTAAGGTTCACTTGTAGAGGCTGAGTTGGGGACAGTGGTGGAGATTAAGGTTCACTTGTAGTGGCTGAGTTGGGGACAGTGGTGGAGATTAAGGTTCACTTGTAGAGGCTGAGTTGGGGACAGTGGTGGAGATTAAGGTTCACTTGCAGAGGCTGAGTTGGGGACAGTGGTAGAGATTAAGGTTCACTTGTAGTGGCTGAGTTGGGGACAGTGGTGGAGATTAAGGTTCACTTGTAGGGGCTGAGTTGGGGACAGTGGTAGAGATTAAGGTTCACTTGTAGTGGCTGAGTTGGGGACAGTGGTGGAGATTAAGGTTCACTTGCAGAGGCTGAGTTGGGGACAGTGGTAGAGATTAAGGTTCACTTGTAGTGGCTGAGTTGGGGACAGTGGTGGAGATTAAGGTTCACTTGCAGAGGCTGAGTTGGGGACAGTGGTGGAGATTAAGGTTCACTTGCAGAGGCTGAGTTGGGGACAGTGGTGGAGATTAAGGTTCACTTGTAGAGGCTGAGTTGGGGACAGTGGTGGAGATTAAGGTTCACTTGCAGAGGCTGAGTTGGGGACAGTGGTAGAGATTAAGGTTCACTTGTAGTGGCTGAGTTGGGGACAGTGGTGGAGATTAAGGTTCACTTGCAGAGGCTGAGTTGGGGACAGTGGTGGAGATTAAGGTTCACTTGTAGAGGCTGAGTTGGGGACAGTGGTGGAGATTAAGGTTCACTTGTAGTGGCTGAGTTGGGGACAGTGGTGGAGATTAAGGTTCACTTGTAGAGGCTGAGTTGGGGACAGTGGTGGAGATTAAGGTTCACTTGCAGAGGCTGAGTTGGGGACAGTGGTGGAGATTAAGGTTCACTTGTAGTGGCTGAGTTGGGGACAGTGGTGGAGATTAAGGTTCACTTGTAGAGGCTGAGTTGGGGACAGTGGTGGAGATTAAGGTTCACTTGTAGAGGCTGAGTTGGGGACAGTGGTGGAGATTAAGGTTCACTTGTAGAGGCTGAGTTGGGGACAGTGGTGGAGATTAAGGTTCACTTGTAGAGGCTGAGTTGGGGACAGTGGTGGAGATTAAGGTTCACTTGTAGAGGCTGAGTTGGGACAGTGGTGGAGATTAAGGTTCACTTGTAGAGGCTGAGTTGGGGACAGTGGTAGAGATTAAGGTTCACTTGTAGAGGCTGAGTTGGGGACAGTGGTAGAGACTAAGGTTCACTTGTAGGGGCTGAGTTGGGGACAGTGGTGGAGATTAAGGTTCACTTGTAGAGGCTGAGTTGGGGACAGTGGTAGAGACTAAGGTTCACTTGTAGAGGCTGAGTTGGGGACAGTGGTGGAGATTAAGGTTCACTTGTAGAGGCTGAGTTGGGGACAGTGGTGGAGATTAAGGTTCACTTGTAGAGGCTGAGTTGGGGACAGTGGTGGAGATTAAGGTTCACTTGCAGAGGCTGAGTTGGGGACAGTGGTGGAGATTAAGGTTCACTTGTAGAGGCTGAGTTGGGGACAGTGGTGGAGATTAAGGTTCACTTGTAGAGGCTGAGTTGGGGACAGTGGTGGAGATTAAGGTTCACTTGTAGAGGCTGAGTTGGGGACAGTGGTAGAGACTAAGGTTCACTTGTAGAGGCTGAGTTGGGGACAGTGGTAGAGATTAAGCTTCACTTGCAGAGGCTGAGTTGGGGACAGTGGTAGAGATTAAGGTTCACTTGTAGAGGCTGAGTTGGGGACAGTGGTGGAGATTAAGGTTCACTTGCAGAGGCTGAGTTGGGGACAGTGGTAGAGATTAAGGTTCACTTGCAGAGGCTGAGTTGGGGACAGTGGTAGAGATTAAGGTTCACTTGTAGAGGCTGAGTTGGGGACAGTGGTGGAGATTAAGGTTCACTTGTAGAGGCTGAGTTGGGGACAGTGGTAGAGACACATGTAGGCGTCACAGAGCAGACGACGCACGGGATCCCGGAGCGAGGAGGAGTCGAGGCGAGCAAACTCTTCTGAGGAGAGACTCAGGTACCGGCCCACCTCCGGACACGCTCGCACCTGCGGCACGTTAAAACCATTCTCTCCACCTGCACACACACACACATTATACACAATATTATTAAAACCAATATATATGAATATATACACGCACGAACACACAGACACAGACACACGCACACACTGATGTCAAAAAAATAATATTACTGATGTAATGCAGGGTTACCCTCTCTGTCGGCCATGCTGTCGAAGAAGAGCCAGTCTGTGGGCTCAGGGCCGTGCTTGACGAAGCTCACGTAGTGGCTGGTCTCGATGCATGTGACGGCGCACAGGTCCATGACCTGCCGAGTCCCGTAAACCGGCCCTTCCTCCCAGGAGCCCTGCGGCACCCGGATCTGAGCCGGCCGGTGCGTCTGACGCTTCTTGTGTGTGTGAACCTGTGTGAGACGGAGACACGTGGAGTGTGAATGGAGTGTGTGGCAGTGTATGTGTGTGTGTGTGTGTGTGTAAGAGTCTGTGCATGTGTGTCTGTGTGAGCGTTGTGACGAGATATCGCTGGCTCCCCACTCGTCACCCCTGGCAATGCTAATCATGGGGAACACCTGGCGATCCCAGGTGAGGACGATGAGGTATAGGATTGTGCGTGTAGGTGATCCCCACTATCTTTAGTCGGTACCCCTCAACGTCACGCACAATCTCAGGCTCCTTCCCCGCCAGCGAGGTGACATTCCACGTTCCTAGAGCTAGAGCAGCTTGGGCTCTGGAACCGCACTCCTTGAGAAAGGATGGACTCTTTACCACTCTGGAGTTGCCCATGGTGAGAGGCGGCAGGCTGTTGAGGGTTTGCTTATGGCCTGCGGGCCGAACGGCAGTGCAGAGTACCCGGCCCTCTTGGTGTCTCTGGGAGGGGTGCTGAAAAGTGCTCCGACTGGGGACTCCGTTGTTCTACTGGGGGACTTCAACGCCCACGTAGGCAGCGACAGTGACACCTGGAGGGGCGTGATTGGGAGGAACGGACCCCCTGATCTGAACCCGAGCGGTGTTCTGTTATTGGACTTCTGTTCTAGTTACAGTTTGTCCATAACGAACACCATGTTCAAGCATAAGGGTGTCCATCAGTGCACGTGGCACCAGGACACCCTAGGCCGGAGGTCGATGATCGATTTTGTGGTCGTTTCAGGACACTCGGGTGAAGAGAGGGGCAGAGCTGTCAACTGATCACCACCTGGTGGTGAGATGGATCCGATGGTGGGGGAGGAAGCTGGACAGACTCGGCAGACCCAAATGTACTGTGAGGGTCTGTTGGGAAGGTTTAGCCGAGTCCCCTGTCAGAGAGATCTTCAACTCCCACCTCCGGCGGAGCTTCGACCAGATCTCGAGGGAGCCTGGAGATATTGAGTCTGAGTGGACCCTTTTCTCCACCTCCATTGTCTACGTGGCCACTCGGAGCTGTGGCCGTAAGGTCTCCAGTGCCTGTCAAGGCGGCAATCCCCGAATCCGGTGGTGGACACCGGAAGTAAGGGGTGCCGTCAAGCTGAAGGAGTCCTATCGGGCCTGGCTGGCTTGCGGGACTCCTGAGGCAGCTGACAGGTACCGGCAGGCCAAGCGGACTCCAGCCCGGGTGGTTGTGGAGGCAAAAAAAATCGGGCTTGGGAGGAGTTCGGTGAGGCCATGGTGAAGGACTACCGGCTGGCCTCGAAGAGATTCTGGCAAACCGCCTGGCGCCTTGTTAAGGGTAGACGTGGCTGAATTGTCGTGAGCAGATGAAAGCACTCAGGAGAGGTTGGATGAGTTTGTTCAGATGGGATCTTTTTATTTGTCCCAGTTAAGGCCAATGAAAGGCAATAAAAAAAAATAAAAAATAAAAAAAAACTGTTTAGTAAATAAAGTAAATAAAAAAACAAGCGAAGAGAGTCAAAAAAAAAAAGAGAGTCAAAAAAACAAGCGGTCGGGTACAGTACCTTTGGGCTGGCAGACCGGGGTGGTGGTCCTTATTTTTAAGAAGGGGATTGCCGATACAACCGTCGAGAAAGAGGCCCTGACTATGAAATAGGCTGTCGAGGAGCTCAGGTACTATCTTCTAGGTCGTTCCTTCACCCTGGTGACAGACTGTCCCTCTGCAGTGGATGGCAAGGGCAAAGGACAGCAATGCTAGAGTCACCAGATGATTCCTGGCTCTTCAAGACTTCCACATCATGGTCAAACACCGAGCCGGTTTCATCAACGGCAATGCTGATGGAGTCTCCAGGATTTTGTGTCTGTTCTCCTCTTTCCCTGTAGTGGAGCGCTACAGAGTGTGTGTGTGTGTGTGTGTGCTTTCACCTGTATGTTGCAGGTGCTGCAATACTGCTTTAACTGGCCGGGTGTGATGTCGACATCCTCATAACACTGCAGACACTCCCACTGCGCCACCAGCTGACAGATACTGCATTGCCGAAGAGCTACAGGTGGACAGACAGACAAACGACAGACAGACAAACGACAGACAGAGACAGACAAACGACAGGCGCACGACAGACAAACAGACAGACGATAGACAGACGAACAACAGACAAACAGATAGACAGACAGACAAACGTCAGACAGACGAACGACAGGCAAACAGGCAGACGATAGACGAACGACAGACAAACAGACAGAAAGACAGACAGAAAGACAGACGAACGACAGACAGACGAACGACAGATAGACAGACAAAAATATCAAATGAATGAATGTATTAATATTTTAAGGTATAAAATACAAAAAAATAACAAAAGATACTAATAAAAATGAACCGAGATACTAATATTTGATTAACTTTAAAAATATATGTATATAATCACAAATAAAAAAGAAATAAATAATGATGACGTAAAAAATAATTCATAATCACCCTCGTCCAGCAGGTCCGTGACGTCGAGGGTCAGCGAGGGCAAGATGGCGTCAAACATCTTGAACTCTTTCCCGAATCTGGGCATGAGGAGCGGCAAACAGGACGGAGCCTGAGGAACACCAGAGGGATTCAGGGATCCAGTATAACAGTGACGTGTGTGTGTGTGTGTGTGTGTGTCTCACCTCTGTGAGCTTGAGTCCGGAGTGTATGAAGGAGGACTCCAGCAGGGCCTGAACGTTTGCCACTCGCAGGAGCGCCGGAGACGCGAGCGGAGACACGGGAGAGAGAAGAGGAGACGCAGGAGACGCCGAGACCGACGGAGGAAACAGCTGATAGAGGAAACACTCCTGCGGCTGCTGACTCGCCGACCTGCGCACACACACACACACACAATGAATCTCCTGGATACGGACTGGTGCTCTTCGCGTCTCAGTCAAAAATGTCAATGTTGTTTTCAGTCTCTACTAGGGGTGTAACGGTACACAAAAATCACGGAAATGCCAGAGAAATTTCCTATTTGTTAAAAGAAAAAATATTTTTAAAATAATTGTGAGTTTTCCTACATCTTGAAACTTTCAGGTTTATAAATGGGGGTCATCTTTGAAGGATGAACAAATAATGTTTTGGTCATCACATTAAAAATAACATTTAAATATATGAGGAGTTCAGATGTAAAAGCCATTTGAAATTTTCTTTATTTTTATCAAGCTTGTATATTTAAGTTCAGTAATTTCACTTAAATGGCAATGAAGATAACCTAT